CTACATTCCATCACCTCCGCATCCCTCCCCGCATTTCCACACCCTCCTTGTCCCACTATATCTACATTCCATCACCTCCGCATCCCTCCCCCCCCCCCCCCCCTGATTTCCACACCCTTCTTGTCCCACTATCTCTACATTCCCTCACCTCAGCATCCCTCCCCGCGTTTCCACACCCTCCTTGTCCCACTTTCTCTACATTCCATCACCTCCGCATCCCTCCCCGCATTTTCACACCCTTATTATCCCACTTTCTCTACATTCCATCACCCCCGCATCCCTCACTGCATTTCCACACCCTCCTTGTCCAACAATCTCTACATTCCATCACCTCCGAATCCCTCCCCACATAGCCACACACTCCTTGTCCCACTATCTCTATAATCCATCACCTCCTAATCCCTCTCCGCATTTCCACACCCTCCTTGTCCCACTATCTCTACATTCCATCACCTCCGCATCCCTCCCCGCATTTCCACACTCTCCTTGTCTCAATTTCTCTACATTCCATCACCTCAGCATCCCTCCCCGCATTTCAACACCCTCCTTGTCCCACTCTCTCTACATTCCATCACCTCCGCATCCATCCCCGCATTTTCACACCCTTATTATCCCACTTTCTCTACATTCCATCACCTCCGAATCCCTCCCCGCTTTTCCTCACCGTCCTTGTCCCACTTTCTCTACATTCCATCACCTCCGCATCCCTCCCCGCATTTCCACACCCTCCTTGTCCCACTATCTCTACATTCCATCACCTCCGCATCCCTCCCCGCATTTCCACACTCTCCTTGTCTCAATTTCTCTACATTCCATCACCTCAGCATCCCTCCCCGCATTTCAACACCCTCCTTGTCCCACTTTCTCTACATTCCATCACCTCCGCATCCCTCCCCGCATTTCCACATCCTCCTTGTCCCACTTTCTCTACATTCCATCACCTCCGAATCCCTCCCCGCTTTTCCTCACCGTCCTTGTCCCAATATCTCTACATTCCATCAGCTCCTAATCCCTCTCCGTATTTCCACACCCTCCTTGTCCCACTATCTCTACATTCCATCAGCTCCTAATCCCTCCCCGCTTTTCCTCACCGTCCTTGTCCCACTTTCTCTACATTCCATCACCTCCGCATCCCTCCCCGCATTTCCACACCCTCCTTGTCCCACTATCTCTACATTCCATCACCTCCGAATCCCTCCCCACATAGCCACACCCTCCTTGTCCCACTATCTCTACATTCAATCACCTCCTAATCCCTCTCCGCATTTCCACACCCTCCTTGTCCAACTATCTCTACATTCCATCACCTCCATATCCTTCCCAACATTTCCATACCCTTCTTGTCCCACTATCTGTACATTCCATCACCTCAGCATCCCTCGCCACATTTCCACACCCTCCTTGTCCCACTATCTCTACATTCCATCACCTCCTAATCCCTCTCCGCATTTCCACACCCTCCTTGTCCAACTATCTCTACATTCCATCACCTCCATATCCTTCCCAACATTTCCATACCCTTCTTGTCCCACTATCTGTACATTCCATCGACTCAGCATCCCTCCCCGCATTTCCATACCCTCCTTGTCCAACTATCTCTACATTCCATCACCTCCATATCCTTCCCAACATTTCCATACCCTTCTTGTGCCACTATCTCTACATTCTATCACCTCAGCATCCCTCCCCGCATTTCCACACCCTCCTTGTCCAACTATCTCTACATTCAATCACCTCCGCATCCCTCACCGCAGTTCAACACCCTCCTTGTCCCACTTTCTCTACATTCCATCACCTCCGCATCCCTCCCCGCATTTCCACACCCTCCTTGTCCCACTTTCTCTACATTCCATCACCTCCGAATCCCTCCCCGCTTTTCCTCACCGTCCTTGTCCCAATATCTCTACGTTCCATCAGCTCCTAATCCCTCTCCGTATTTCCACACCCTCCTTGTCCCACTATCTCTACATTCCATCAGCTCCTAATCCCTCTCCGAATTTCCATTCCCTCCGTGTCCCACTATCCCTACATTCCATCACCTCCTAATCCCTCCCAACATAGCCACACCCTCCTTGTCCCACTATCTCTACATTCCATCACCTCCGCATCCCTCTCCGTATTTCCACACCCTCCTTGTCCCACTATCTCTACATTCCATCAGCTCCTAATCCCTCTCCGTATTTCCACACCCTCCGTGTCCCACTATCCCTACATTCCATCACCGCCGAATCCCTCCCAACATAGCCACACCCTCCTTGTCCCACTATCTCTACATTCCATCACCTCCTAATCCCTCTCCGCATTTCCACACCGTCCTTGTCCCACTATCTCTACATTCCATCACCTCCGAATCCCTCTCCGCATTTCCACACCCTCCTTGTACCACTATATCTACATTCAATCACCTCCGCATCCCTCACCGCATTTCCACACCCTCCTTGTCCAACTATCTCTACATTCAATCACCTCCGCATCCCTCACTGCATTTCAACACCCTCCTTGTCCCATTTTCTCTACATTCCATCACCTCCGCATCCTTCCCGCATTTCCACACCCTCCTTGTCCCACTATATCTACATTCCATCACCTCCGCATCCCCCCCCCCCCCCCACCCCTCATTTCCAGACCCTTATTGCCCCACTATCTCTACATTCAATCACCTCCGCATCCCTCACCGCATTTCAACACCCTCCTTGTCCCACTTTCTCTACATTCCATCACCTCCGCATCCCTCCCCGCATTTCCACACCCTTATTATCCCAATTTCTCTACATTCCATCACCTCCATATCCTTCCCAACATTTCCATACCCTTATTGTCCCACTATCTCTACATTCAATCACCTCCGCATCGCTCACTGCATTTCAACACCCTCCGTGTCCCACTTTCTCTACATTCCATCACCTCCGCATCCCTCCCCGCATTTCCACACCCTTATTATCCCACTTTCTCTACATTCCATCACCTTCGCATCCCTCCGCTCATTTCCACATCCTTATGATCCCACTTTCTCTACATTCCATCACCTCCGAATCCCTCCCCGCTATTCCTTACCGTCCTTGTCCCACTTTCTCTACATTCCATCACCTCCGCATCCCTCCCCGCATTTCCACACCCTCCTTGTCCCACTATCTCTACATTCCATCACCTCCGAATCCCTCCCCACATAGACACACCCTCCTTGTCCCACTATCTCTACATTCCATCACCTCCTAATCCCTCTCCGCATTTCCACACCCTCCTTGTCCCACTATCTCTACATTCCATCACCTCCGAATCCCTCCCCGCATTTCCACACCCTCCTTGTCCCATTTTCTCTACATTCCATCACCTTCATATCCTTCCCAACATTTCCATACCCTTCTTGTCCCACTATCTCTACATTCCCTCAGCTCAGCATCCCTCCCCGCATTTCCACACCCTCCTTGTCCAACTATCTCTACATTCCATCACCTCCATATCCTTCCCAACATTTCCATATTACCCTTCTTGTCCCACTATCTCTACATTCAATCACCTCCGCATCCCTCCCCGCGTTTCCAAACCCTTATTATCCCACTTTCTCTACATTCCATCACCTCCAAATCCCTCCCCGCTTTTCCTCACCGTCCTTTTCCCACTTTCTCTACATTCCATCACCTCCACATCCCTCCCCGCATTTCCACACCCTCCTTGTCCCGCTATCTCTACATTCCATCACCTCCGCATCCCTCCCCACATTTCCACACCCTCCTTGTCCAACCATCTCTACATTCCATCGCCTCCGAATCCCTCCCCGCATTTCCACACCCTCCTTGTCCCGCTATCTCTACATTCCATCACCTCCTAATCCCTCTCCGCATTTCCACACCCTCCTTGTCCCACTATCTCTACATTCCATCACCTCCGAATCCCTCCCCACATAGCCACACCCTCCTTGTCCCACTATCTCTACATTCAATCACCTCCGCATCCCTCCCCGCGTTTCCAAACCCTTATTATCCCACTTTCTCTACATTCCATCACCTCCAAATCCCTCCCCGCTTTTCCTCACCGTCCTCTCCCACTTTCTCTACATTCCATCACCTCCACATCCCTCCCCGCATTTCCACACCCTCCTTGTCCCACTATCTCTACATTCCATCGCCTCCGAATCGCTCACCGCATTTCCACACCCTCCTTGTCCTGCTATCTCTACATTCCATCACCTCCGCATCCCTCCCCACATTTCCACACCCTCCTTGTCCCACTATCTTTACATTCCATCGCCTCCGAATCCCTCCCCGCATTTCCACACCCTCCTTGTCCCGCTATCTCTATATTCCATCACCTCCGCATCCCTCCCCACATTTCCACACCCTCCTTGTCCCACTATCTTTACATTCCATCGCCTCCGAATCCCTCCCCGCATTTCCACACCCTCCTTGTCCCGCTATCTCTACATTCCATCACCTCCTAATCCCTCTCCGCATTTCCACACCCTCCTTGTCCCACTATCTCTACATTCCATCACCTCCGAATCCCTCCCCACATAGCCACACCCTCCTTGTCCCACTATCTCTACATTCCATCACCTCCTAATCCCTCTCCGCATTTCCACACCCTCCTTGTCCCATTATCTCTACATTCCATCGCCTCCGAATCCCTCCCCGCATTTCCACACCCTCCTTGTCCCACTATCTCTACATTCCATCACCTCCGAATCCCTCACCGCATTTCCACACCCTCCTTGTCCCACTTTCTCTACATTCCATCATCTCCGCATCCCTCCCCGCTTTTCCACACCCTTATTATCCCACTATCTCTACATTCCATCACCTCCGAATCCCTCCCAAAATAAGCACACTGGTTTTGCTTTCACTCCAGTTTTTATCGGTATACTCATTCTGCGTGTGGATGTACATGTAGTCCATGCAACAGTGTATAAACACTGTCGTGAACAATCACATGCCTGGGAATAAGCGACGCCTGCTTACAAGGGACTGACTGAATGAATTACGCATGATATTAAAAATAAAATCTTCCAGAAATTCGCATTTTATTCTGCCGTCACGCATAAGAGGTAACAAAACATCGACATACTGCATTTTCACATTATTAATAAATATCAGTTAACGTTTATGGTTCGTGTGAAAGTGATGAACACATAATGACGCCTACAGTCATTTGAAACTGCTGTTCGTGAATGGGTTAACCGGATTCTAGTCCCATATACATGTATGTGTCGGACTATTCTATGAAATTTACAAATGCATGTTTCATTGCGAGGAAAATATATATTATATTATTTTTAAACAAAAACAAGTATCACAGTCACTGTACACTGTATTTCAGAAAACACTCCTGTGATCACCTCCACTGTCAGAAGATGCCTCTTGCATAGACTTCCTTGTTCTATGAGGCGAAGAGACCGAACTTCGTATTGCATGCTATAATGTGATGATAGGCTTTTTGCATGTGTTTGTTTAGGCTTTTCAATCGTCACAGTTGTTTCCAATATAGGGCATTACGCAATTTATTGCAACAGTATTGTTCATTCCTCGTTTTCATTTTTTTCTTTCTTGTCAGCACTTCTCTTGAACCCATGCACATTGAAGCCTCCCAAAGTGTCTAGTCCTCTTTTAAAACTGTGCACATTGAAGCCACCAAGAGTATCGAAACCTCTCTTGAATCCATCGTGAATATGCCCCCCACCTAATGTATCGAACCCGCGCTTGAACCCATCATGGATTTGGGCACCACCAAGTGTGTCGAAGCCTCGCTTGAACCCGTCGTGGATTTGGGCACCTCCAAGTGTGTCGAAACCTCTTTTGAATCCATCATGGATTTGGGAACCCCCAAGTGTGTCGAAGCCTCGCTTGAACCCGTCGTGGATTTGGGCACCTCCAAGTGTGTCGAAACCTCTCTTGAATCCATCATGGATTTGGGCACCACCAAGTGTGTCGAAGCTTCGCTTGAACCCGTCGTGGATTTGGGCACCACCAAGTGTGTCGAAGCCACGCTTGAACCCGTCGTGGATTTGGGCACCTCCAAGGGTGTCGAAACCTCTTTTGAATCCATCATGGATTTGGGCACCACCGAGAGTATCAAAGCCTCTCTTGAACCCATCATGGATTTGGGCACCACCAAGTGTGTCAAAACCTCGCTTGAACCCATCGTGGATTTGGGCACCACCAAGTGTGTCAAAACCTCGCTTGAATCCATCATGGATTTGGGCACCACCGAGCGTGTCAAAACCTCGCTTGAAGCCATCGTGGATTTGGGCACCTCCAAGGGTGTCGAAACCTCTTTTGAATCCATCGTGGATTTGGGCACCACCCAAAGTATCAAAGCCTCTCTTGAACCCATCGTGGATTTGGGCACCACCAAGTGTGTCAAAACCTCGCTTGAACCCATCGTGGATTTGGGCACCACCCAGAGTATCAAAGCCTCTCTTGAACCCATCATGGATTTGGGCACCACCAAGTGTGTCAAAACCTCGCTTGAACCCATCATGGATTTGGGCACCACCCAGTGTATCAAAGCCTCGCTTGAACCCATCGTGGATTTGGGCACCACCAAGTGTGTCAAAACCTCGCTTGAACCCATCGTGAATTTGGGCACCACCGAGAGTATCAAAGCCTCTCTTGAACCCATCATGGATTTGGGCACCACCAAGTGTATCAAAACCTCGCTTGAATCCATCATGGATTTGGGCACCACCAAGTGTGTCAAAACCTCGCTTGAATCCATCATGGATTTGGGCACCACCGAGCGTGTCAAAACCTCGCTTGAATCCATCATGGATTTGGGCACCACCAAGTGTGTCAAAACCTCGCTTGAATCCATCATGGATTTGGGCACCACCAAGTGTGTCAAAACCTCGCTTGAAACCATCATGGATTTGGGCACCACCAAGTGTGTCAAAACCTCGCTTGAACCCGTCGTGGGTTTTATCAGCATCCACCTTATTCGTGTGTCTCGTTAATCCGTCATGGATTTTGGAGTCTCCATGGGTATGCAGGGCTCTTTTTGTGCGGCTGTGGGCTGACCTCCCGGCTGTGCTAGCTGATCGCTTCTTATATCCATGCACCTCAAATCCACCAATTGGGTCAAGGTAACGTTTTGTTTGCACATCTACGTCAGCAAGTGGATCAAAAAAACGCTTGTAGCCATGGATTTGAGCTCCGCCTAGAGAGTCAAGGTATCGCTTCCCCATTTCTGTCAAGTCATCAACAAGTTCACTGTCGTCATATGCCATCCTACTTGTGCTTCGTTTGGTCATTTTCAGCCGCATGGCGTGTTCCATGTTGTGTCCATTAACTTCCCTTTTCTTCAAATCCTGAAATGACAGAATCACATTAGACTACTTGTATTCGTCAAGTTAACTAAAGTGTACCACAAAACAACTTGGATAGACAAAAAGATAGACACAATTGTATTTGACATAATTCAATATGATTGGTTGCCACAAAGCGGCGGAAAGGAAGTAAAATATTTATGCAGCATGAATATTCCATATTGAAATTTCATTTATCAGTTGGATACTTGCACGACGATTTTCCAGCTCAACGACTATCAAAATTATATGTACATTATGAGGAAGCTCTGCGTTCACTTTATGTATGCATATAGCGGTCTCAGCGCAACATTTGGACGTGCATTCTTTTACATGAACTTCCACTGTTTGGAAGCGCAATACGCTGTGCAATCTTGCTAAACGCGGCGTAAAACAAAACAAACTGACTTGCTCCATCAATTGAGAATATCAAAATCTTTCAGTCAACTTGCTACAAAGTCGTACACATCCATGTCCTCTCGGTAATCCTTACTACCGCGCCCGGCGCCAAGGAGTTGGATACAGGACAGTATAGCGTCGATATAATTCAATCAGAAGCGTCTAATGCCAAGACATTATGTGTAAATTAGTGCCTCAGATGCGGTCTAGCGGGGATTGAATCGTACCTCATAGGCGCATCCTAAGAAAGAATGAGACCTTTCCAGTGTGTCAACGCATAAATGCTGACGATATTAGTGTCATTAAATAGTCATTACTTCATCTTACAGCAATGATGGATACACTGGATGAATTGGCGGATGGTGAAGTAAATCTTATTCAAATTCTGAGAAAAATGCTGATGAGTATACAGATCAGTACCGTTTTTACCAGATTATAGGAGTTTCGAAACCAATCTCATTTCAAATTCTGTAAAACTTAATATCGGAACATTCGTGGATGATCTTTGAGGAATTTTTTTTTAATGATAAGTGAAGCGTCTTTACCTTAACATAGGACAAACAATGATCGGAAAAAGCTCAGATATGATCATCATCAGTGGTATGCTTTCAGCGAGCTCATCGTGAGGACAATTTATATCTCTATTCACTATAATATTTCTATTAAAGCATTGGATTGTGCGACGAGGGACAGCCTTTATTCGTAAGCGCGTATTGGGCTGGGAAAAGTGTTAAAAATGTGCCTTCAAAGTAGCATCAGACAGGAAAGAAAGTTCATTGATGATTAAAATACCTCTTTGATTTTAATGTTTGTCTTGAAGGGCATAAACTTCAATCCGTTGTTTCGTCAATACAAACTGTATGCGTACTAGCTGGAAAAGGAAGTACAGTGCACAAACCCCTACATGCTACTGCAGACTACGTTAAGTGCTGCCCGGTGCTCCTGGACCTCAAGTGATAAATTGACTTCTCACGGCAAACCATTCCCACAATATATTCATTTGCTTTATAGGGTAAACCAGAGATAACTATAAAAGCAGCACCCAATAATCCAGAAAATGGACCTTTATTGACACACTCGCGACAATGATGTATTTACTTATTATTTATGTCTGTAGAGCGGCTATGGCGTGGACCACGGCTTAGAAAGGGCTCTCTTTGTTTGAATGATATTGCACAAAACTACATCTTTCCTCTCAACTGGGGGATGGGCAGCTGGAATTACTGAATAAAAGAATCCCATCGGAAAAGATCTATTTTAACCATTAGCTTTCGTGAAGGTCTGTCAATAGCGCGATAGGGTAATGAGTGGGCCGCAATCTGTCACGCTGCAGTACGGCTATGTGTGCGAGATTTGATTGCGCCCTTTTGGAAATTTAACAATGGGACATAATATCAGCGCTGCAAAGTCGCTGATAGTTTGGACATTCAAGAGAGCTATTAAAGCAAGTATAAAATGCAGTGTTGCCATCAAGCAACGCTCTTTATCTCTTTCGTTTTGTCCCGATCCAATGCTAACATGGTCCTGTGCCAGCAAACACAAGACCTATGTGGTACAAGTGGTACCCATAAACATGCAGCTGATGAAACAGAGGGTTTGCTACAAATTTCTTTTTATCAATTTTTCACAAGTTTTACATGTGATAAGGTTAACTCAAGCGTTATAATATAAATAGTAGTAATTGCCATGTATATATTTGATGAACAAATACTAAAATAGCAGCATGGTTTCACAATGACAAGACAAATGTCCACAGCTTTATGGAAAATTCTTTGTTGATTTGGCAATTGTGTTGGGAAGTCGTATACATTTTTGAAAACACACACTCAAACAAGAAAGCTATAGTGTAAGATTACGTTTAGATGCAGTACATCCGATCACCTAGAAATATTCTACGTGTGAAAAGGTTTAGTATGATCTCAGTAAGTGAAGCCTCTTACTTAGTAGAGAATGCAAATCACTGGAGGTGAGGCTTCTAACGTAGTGGAGAATTCACGTCATTGGAAGTGAGGCCTCTTACTTAGTGGAGAATGCACGTCACTGGATGTGAGGCCTCTTACTTTAGTGGAGAATAAACGTCACTGGAGGTGAGGCCTCTTACTTAGTGGAGAATACACGTCACTGGAGGTGAGGCCTCTTACTTAGTGGAGAATACACGTCACTGGAGGTGAGGCCTCTTACTTTAGTGGAGAATACACGTCACTGGAGGTGAGGCCTCTTACTTAGTAGAAAATGCACGTCACAGGAGGTAAGGCCTCTTACTTTAGTGGAGGATACACGTCACTGGTGGTGAGGCCTCTTACTTTAGTGGAGAATAAACGTCACTGGAGGTCAGGCCTCTTACTTAGTTCGGAATTCACGTCACTGTGGGTGAGCCGCTAACTTAGTAGAGAATACATGTCACTGGAGGTCAGGCCTCTTACTTTAGTGGAAAATACACGTCACTGGAGGTGAGGCCTCTTACTTTAGTGGAGAATAAACGTCACTGGAGGTCAGGCCTCTTACTTAGTTCGGAATTCACGTCACTGTGGGTGAGCCGCTAACTTAGTAGAGAATACATGTCACTGGAGGTCAGGCCTCTTACTTTAGTGGAAAATACACGTCACTGGAGGTCAGGCCTCTTACTTAATGGAGAATGCACGTCACTGGAGGCGAAGCCTCTTACTTAGTGGATAATACACGTCACTGGAGGTGAGGCCTCTTACTTAGTAGAGAATACACGTCACTGGAGTTGAGGCCTCTTACTTATTTGAGAATGCACGTCACAGGAGGTGAGGCCTCTTATTTGGTGGAGAAGACACGTCACAGGAGATGAGGCCTCTTACTTAGTGGCGAATACATGTCACAGGAGGTGAGGCCTCTTACTTTAGTGGAGAATACACGTTACTGGAGGTGAGGCCTCTAACTTTGCGGAGAAGACACGTCACAGGAAGTGAGGCCTCTTATAAATTACTTAGTTAGAGAATGCACGTCACTGGAGGTGAGGCCTCTTACTTAGTAGAGAATGCACGTCACTGGAGGTCAGGCCTCTTCCTTAGTAGAGAATACACGTCACTGGAGTTCAGGCCTCTTACTTAGTGGAGAATGCACGTCACTGGAGATGAGGCTTCTTACTTAGCGGAGAATACACGTCACTGGTAGAGAGGCCTCTTACTTAGTAGAGAATACACGTCACAGGAGGTGAGGTCTCTTACTTAGTAGAGAATACACGTCACAGTAGGTGAGGCCTTTTACTTAATGGAGAATGCACGTCACTGGAAGTGAGGCCTCTTACTTAGTGGACAATACACGTCACAGGAGGTGAGGTCTCTTTCTTAGTGGATAATGCACGTCACAGGTGGTGAGGCCTCTTACTTAGTGGTGAATGCACGTCACAGGAAGTGAGGCCTCTTAATTAGTGGAGAATACACGTCACTGGAGGTCAGGCCTCTTACTTCGTTAAGAAAACACGTCACTGTAGGTGAGGCCGCTAACTTAGTAGAGAATACATGTCACTGGAGGTGAGGCCTCTTACTTAATGGAGAAGACACGTCACAGGAGGTGAGGCCGCTTACTAAGTGGAGAATGCACGTCACAGGAGGTCAGGCCTCCTACTTAGTGAAGAATACACGTCACAAGAGGTCAGGCCTCTTACTTAGTGGAGAATACACGTCACAAGCGGTCAGGCCTCTTACTTTGTGGAGAATGACCGTCAGTAGAGGTCAGGCCTCTTACTTAGTTGAGAATACACGTCATATGAGGTGCGGCCTCTTAGTTGAGAATACACGTCACTGGAGGTGAGGCCTCCTACTTAGTGGAGAATGCACGTCACAAGAGGTCAGGCTTCTTACTTAGTGGAGAATGCACGTCATTGGAGGTCAGGCCTCTTACTTTGTGGATAATGCACGTCACTTGAAGTGAGGCCTCTTAGTTGAGAATACGCGTCACTGGAGGTCAGGCCTCTTACTTAGTGGAGAATGCACATCACAGGAGGTGAGGCCTCTTACTTAGTAGAGAATACACGTCACTGGAGATGAGGCCTCTTACTTAGTAGAGAATACACGCCACAGGAGGTGAAGCCTCTTCCTTTTTTGAGAATGCACGTCACAGGAGGTGAGGCATCTTACTTAGTGGAGAATACACGTCACAAGATGTCAGGCCTCCTACTTAGTGGAGAATACACGTCACAAGAGGTCAGGCCTCTTACTTAGTGGAGAATACACGTCACAAGAGGTCAGGCCTCTTACTTAGTGGAGAATGCACATCACTGGAAGTCAGGCCTCTTACTTTGTGGGGAAGGCACGTCACTGGAGTTCAGGCCTCTTACTTAGTGGAGAATACACGTCACAAGAGGTCAGGGCTCTTACTTAGGGGAGAATGCACATCACTGGAAGTCAGGCCTCTTACTGTGTGGAGAAGGCACGTCACAAGAGGTCAGGCTTCTTACTTATTGGAGAATTCACGTCATTGGAGGTCAGGCCTCTTACTTTTTGGAGAATACACGTCACAAGAGGTCAGGCCTCTTACTTTGTGGAGAATGCACGTCACTTGAAGTGAGGCCTCTTAGTTGAGAATACGCGTCACTGGAGGTCAGGCCTCTTACTTAGTGGAGAATGCACATCACA